TGAAAGACCAGGACCAGTATAGTCATGTGGAAGAGTTTATGAGCATTTCTGTGGAGGAGACAGAACTGGGCCTTGCTCTGCTTGCTTTCTTTGCAAGTTCTCCAGCCCAAGAAAATGGGGAGGGGGGGGGTGATGACTTTTCATCAGTGCTTTTGTAACTTCAGGGCCATAGTGTTTTCTCCAGCTGAAGTTGCTTAATGAACCTGGGTGGGCCATAATTTCAGTTTGCTGAAAGTGCCTATTTGCTAAAATAAATGAATCAAATCAGTTTTTGGCTGCCCACCAGACACCTGGAAAATCTGCTTCTCAGACTGCCACAGCAACTCTTTTAGCTCAGAAGAACCTGACCTATGACTTAACACCTTTTTTTTTTTTGCCATAACTTTGTGAAACTTTTGCCCTGGCTAAGACCTATGTTGACTACCCACCAGAGAGCATCCTGCAGTTTAGTTTTAGGCTCCCTCTTTGCAAAAGACAAAAAATCCTCCTGAGTTGCAGATCTGCTACAGGTATGAGCTTTGTAGCTCCATGGTATGCAGCTCCTGGTTGGACAGGCTTCTTCACCAACCTGTGGTGCGTGAATCCATTTGACAGCAGGAAATACAGAATGGGAACTCTGGAACGGTAGAACCTCATGATCTGTGCTTAGCCTTGCACTCCTTGGAAGGAGTTATATCAGTGATTGGTCTTTTGTTCACTGCAAATAATTAAAAAAATTCAAAAGTGCTTAAAGGTTTTTTAGAGGACATCTGGCCATTCCATCCATCTCCAAAGGAAAACCTACGTTGATAGTTTAAGCTAGGGAGAAGGTTATAGGGTGGATATCACATATAACATCTATTTCAAAGTAACTGTTGATTCTTACCAAGAATAATGCCTCTGTATTCCCAGCCTTTCTCTTGAGGAGTTAGGCTCTGGTCCTTTCTCATGCTTTTATAAATAGATTTGTGTCTTTTTCTAAAGCACATATTGGAAAAGTTCAGGTATCCAGGCAGCTATATGAGCCACTGCAGTACCTGTGAGCTGGAGAACCGTTCCTTAGTCTCATATAGCTATATCTTTCTGTACCAGTTTTCCATGTACAGGCATACATTCAGCTACCATAGGTGTGGATGTGAAGTTGGAATACTTCCAGGTTGACAGGTTTCTGCTTAAACATTTGGGAAAGCAAACACAACCTTGTTTGACTAACTCATAATTGGGTACATATAACACAAAATGAAGTTTTAATCTGGCAGTATGGTATTGCTGCTGCTAGAACAGGATGAGGTCCTGTCCTCCTGACCCTGTTTAGCTAGCCTCTCCTGCTCCCATGACAAGCTAGCTCTTTTCATGTCTCCCTGAGTCCCAAAAGCTGCTGGAAGATGTGATCATCCAAAATGATGGTAGCCAAGAAATGGCACTGGTCATTGTGGGAAGATTCGAGGGTTACTTCCTAAGCAAGTTCTGTTTCAACAGTGATACATACCATAGATGTATGGTATTTTTTTATGTCAGCGTGCTTTGTAGTGATCTTTACTGCTGTTTTGGAAACTAACTCAAGTTGGCAAATTGTAGATGCCTTGGTATTTGCATTGGTGCTATTAATTTTTTGTCCTGTGCAGTAATACAATGTTTTCAGTTGTTTCTTTACCTGAATCATCAAGATAAATCATTTTCATGTGCCTATCAGGTTTACAGCCTCCTGGGGCCCATGGGCTCAGGCTCCATAGGATGCACAGCTGTGGCTGATATGAGAAGGATTTGCAGATCTAGTGTAAGGCAAAAGTGCAGCAGTCACAAGCGGCCCCTCTTTAACTCCACCACATTGCACTTTGATTACTCAAAGTGTTGCTCTACCTCACTGCATGCAGTAGCTTTTTCTACAAGAATAGCAGAGTTTCAAAAAGCTGTGTGGATCTAAGGAGCCAGCCAGTTCTGCACTCCCTCACTCGGCTTTATCAGTGGAAATTCCTTCCTCGCTGATCGAATGACCGAGGGAAAATTATCTCTTTTTAAAACAGTTCACATTTCTTTGGATTCAGTTTCAAATTGGCATTCTTAAGCTTAACACAGACCATTTGTAAATGCACTAGTTCCTGACTGAAAGATTTAGCATGTACCAGATTTGTTATCCGTCTAGGGCAAACAGTCTGAAAGAGGCTCATGCCATACAGTACATTCTCCATGAGCCATTTAAAGGTAGCAGGAGCACTGCACAATCTAGAGAACATTATTTAAAATTGACAGAACCTTTACCTTACCATAAAAGCAGCCTTCTTCTGGGGTTTTTGGATTTACTTCCATGTTCACTTACTCACTTAAGATCAGTGTAGAAACTCAGCTAACCTTTCTGTAATATGAAAAGTATCCAAGCATGAGCCAAATGTCTCTCTGATCCAGTGTGGCTTGGGTGCAAAAGCCGCGCATGATCCCTTCCTGAACAGAGCAAGAATCAAAAAAATGGCAACAATTACTTGGTTCATTACTTTAAATTCCCTTCTCTCCTCTGTTCACTCAGGGTCACAAGCCCAGGGGTTGTTCAGGCTTGTCTTTTGCTTCTTGCTCTCTCTTTGTCTCAGTGGCTGAGTCTCTGTTTGACTTTTAAAAAGTTTTTCTGCTGCAGTGATACACAACATCTTTCCAGCACTATGGAGTATCTTCATTACTTATGTTTTCCTTGATGAAAGCCTAGCAGTGTGTCTAGCAGTGTTGGCAAGTCTGCTCCCACTCAGTGGTAGTAGGGGCTACCCATAGCAAAGGATAGAAATCTCTTAAAGTAACTACTTAATCTGGTATCATTCCCACAGTACCCATTACTTTTCTTCCAACAGCAAATTGCGGCAGAAGCCTATGAATGGTTAGAGGATTTTTTTTTTTCTGCCACATTTCATTAAATTTTCTCTGAAAGGGAAAACAACTGAGCTATGTGCTTGAACACCTTCTTATCAGTTTTGCATTGCTACATGGTTGAAAACTATAGTTACATGGTTACAAACTGTAGTTAAAAACTTTCAAGTAAAACATACAGCACTGGCAGTGCACGGAAATTTTTTCTGAGCTGATCACACTCATGTATAGTTGCAGTGATACAATTTGCTGATAGGCAGTATTACAATGCGGTGCTACCAAACCAGTTCATGACATTGAAACCAAGAGAGCTGTTATTTGGCTTTTGCTCCTTCAGCTCACTCATCAAAACTGTAAAATCATGAAGGCAAGTTGATGTGTGTCCTACTGAGCAGGCAGCTGCCCAAGGACAGCCCACTCCCTGTGTGCTGAGCTGCTGGTAGTGTGGGTGTAGGCCACAGCTTCATTTTCATTGTCCTCTGTATGTGAATCTGAGCAAGAAGAAAAACTGGAAGAAATTGCATGGCCCTTTGCCACCTTAAAAAGCAACTTTACCTTAAAGAGCAGCTGGTATCTGTAGGAGGTTGTAACCACTGTTAGTCAAACTCCTGTCATGTTTTGATGCAGGAGGCAAGTGACTGACATTTTCCTTTGACAGGACAACTGAGTTGGTCACTAGTTTTGTCTGGGCTTGTCACAGCTATTTGGGTATCTAGGGAGAGGCCCAAAACAGTACCAGCCCTGAATCTCCTGGGGGAGTGGGGTAAAGTGTTTTCATTTGGGATTATATAAGCTTCTCTGGAGCCCTTTGTGCCCTACCAAGGCCCAGAGGTTGGCAGAACCTGTACCCCAGGATATCTCTGCATTACAGCCATTTCCTCAACATCTCTACCTTTCCCTTTGAATGGCATTGCAGGGTGAAGGGAAGAGAAGGCTTTTCCATGCTTCTGTCCTCGCATCCTGCTGCAGAGTTTCCCAACAGCAGTGCCTAATCTCTCCCAGGGCTACCTACTGTAAGATGCTCCATGGTCCTGCTCCCAGAGCATCCAGAGAGAGCCTGGCTCTAGCTGGTTCCCTTCTGCTTTACCTTCCCACCCAGGAAACCAGGGAGAGGGCAAGGGGGATAGGGCTGATGCTCGTGTGTGGTGCCCATCGTGTGTCAGGACACAGCACATGGAAACCTGGGAGCTCCAAGTCACCCCAGCTCCCAATTTGGGGGAGGCAGGCAAAGCAGCCCTGCTGTCTTCTCCAGCATCACAGTGACAGAGAGACTTGGGACCAAGAGTTGTTTCTTTGCTGCCTGTATTTCTGCAGTAGACTGAATAGCAACAGTGGGATTCATCTGCCTTCTCTGCTAGAATTTGCCACTTTTTTGTATTTTCTCAGGGTAGATAGTAGATTTCCCTCCCCCCCACCCCAAAAAGTCACTGAAGCTGTATGTACAGCATAGCTGGGCTATGTAACAGCTGCTTTTCTATATGCTAAGCACTTTTACTACTTTATTAGAAAGACACTGAGATTTTCAGATAGATTTTTTTTTTTAATTTTATTTTTCCCTAAGAAAAGAGATAGTAAGTACTGTATGTCTTGTTTGCAGTAACAGCTGCCACAAGTTCTTCCTTTGAGAAGATTTAGAAATAAGGCAAAAATAACCAAGAAAACCCCTACCCCAAGCTACAGAATCCCAACTACTAACATTCAAAAAGAAGCTGAAAATGTTGATCCCTTGAGTACTGGTAGTTAAACTTCAAAAATCAATGAAGAGGGAAGCCTAACTGGTCTTTCTGAGGCATCTGAATGCAAAGCTAAATCCCAAATGTAGAATTTTTGCAGCTATAAATATAGGGGATTATTTTCAGACAATGTTAAAATTACTGCTTAATTCCCTTTCCTTCAGGAGAAAGCTCCTATGAGATGCACTCGGAAAGGAATCTCTGACTGTACTAGATAGACTTGTGGACTTACCAAGAAGTAGCTTTTCAGAGTGGTATGTGAAAGGAGTGAGAGCAGTCTGATTAGCAAGGACCCCAGTTCTGCCATCACTTCTGCTTTGAGTAACTTTAAACATTTGTCCTATTTGTTCAGGCAAATTCATCTCTCAAAATATAAAGCTATTCCTGCACACAAGTGCTGGCAGGATCTGGGATCAGCAGGTACAAAAACATTGCTCTGGCAGTGGTCTCCTGAGTGTTCGTAGAAAAAATATTAGGCCTTGGTCCTCTAAGGTACCTAAGTGAGAAATCCACACTGTTAAGTATCTCTGAGGATCTGAGTGCCCAGAATTAGTGCCTGGATTTTTTAACAAAGTAAGACTTTAAAGAACCGGATGGTCTTCTAACCACATTCGTATTTCCTCCTTGTTTACTTTTAGCCATTCAATGTTGCTCTTCACCTGCTCAATTGACTGACTTCTGGGTGATTCTCCTGCCCCAGCATTAGGATATTTCTCAAAGAAATTTTCCATCTGGAAAAGAGAGAGAAAAAGAATTGACATGAAGCAAATAATGCTGCTATTGGGCAAGTAGCTTTTTACAGGGACTTGGTCAAGGGCAGTTCTTGTTGAGAGAGATAATCAAGCTCAGGCTAGTAGAACTGGCATAGGTTTCCAGCACCTTGTACTGCTTTACACCATTAGAACATAAAAAGTCAAGTTTCCTGGGCAGTGGATTGTTAAATACATTGACTTCAAACCAAGAGAAATGCTGTTACCATACCTGCCAAAGCTGGAGCTCAGTGTTGAAAGTTTGGGTAATAGTTACTATTCGACCAAGGTTTCTGTCATTGATAGTAAACCTAGAAAAACAATTTAATAAATTATGTTTGACACAAAGCTGTTAAAAAAAGAAGATACAGATAATTATCTGAATCTTAAACTGCTAACTGTGCTGCAATAAAACTGACGCACTCAGATTTCAGCATTTTTGTAAATACTTGAAAAATAGTGTTCCTATACAATATCTGTGCTGCTCTCAAATATGTCTACTAATGGAGTGATCTCTTCTGTGGGATCTGTTTATTTTTTTCAATTAATGACTTATTGTCTCATGCTGGAAATTAGGTGTATGGCTGCTCAGCAATAAAAATGCTGTTCACAGCTTTAGGCTGGCAGTTGTGCTTTGCTTCTGTGTCCTTATCAAGCACTTAGAAAAGAGAAGGAAGGAGAAGGTCAAATAGAGAGGAACAAAGCTAAAAGGTTTTTTGTTACTTCCACTGCTTGTCTGCATGTCTGCTGCTTGCTGTGACCACTAGAAGGAATTAAAAAAAATTCTATACACTGTCATCTTGTTATGAAATCAATAGAAAGAGTGGAGATGTGACTGATTAATTTCCATGCAGTAACCAGATTTCTATGGCCTTGGTAGAACTTTATATATTTTTTTAGTCTCCTTTTATTGGTAGTGATCTTTTAGAGAAAGAATGGTTTTCAAGTTAGCAGCAAAGTACTTTTTCACAGCAGATGGATATAATTGCTGAATATGCTTTCAATTTTCATTATGCAAAGGCCGGTGATTATAGCTGTATAGTGAAAATGCAGAAAAGCATGGCATATAACATATAACAGGATATACAGATGGATGTAGACCCAAAGTTTCCAATGAGTTCATTGGCCTACCTGTCAACTAAGTACTGCCAGTTAAGTCGTATCCAGTCCCAGGCGATTGTTTTCCCATAGGTGTTATAGGAGATGTATCTCAGGACTGTGAACACATCTTGGCTTTTGATGAGGTTGGTGTTGTAAATATATTTCAGATACCTAAGGGAAATGCCATAAGCATCAATGAGCACCTTTCATGAAAGACCATAGAAAGCACATAATAAGTTAACACTTTCACTGTAAACTTAACTGATGGTTATGTGAAATAATGCAATGCTAATGTCTATATTTCTCAAGTATTTGCCACCACAGTCTACAGCCCATTGCCAAGCATGAATATTATTTTTGACTACAGCATTTTAAAGATGAAGCACACTGATCTAAAACATAAGTGTCTGTTGATAACACTGTCAGGAGATTGTACTGAAAGAAACTAAAGCAGTTAGGCATCTCTTTAGAGAGTAAGTAGGGTTTATGTCTCTAAGTTACTTGAAAATATCCAAAACCCATTACTATTTCTATACTTTAATCAAGTAGTGAAAGCAAAATTGCATCAATCAGTAATCTAGCCTGTCTGGGTAGCCAAGCACCAAAAAAGTAGTAGTCCAGGCTACAAAAATCTTATAGGAACCGTGAGTACATGTGCTTGCTCACATTGAAATCTGTGCTGTTTGTTCTGAAACTCTTATTCACACAAAATTAAAATTCTTTTGGACATAGCATGCCTGCAAACGCTGCAGTTATACTTCCAGTGACAGCACAGATGTTTTTGATTGACAGAGTGGAGGGATTCCTCAGCGCACACATTTGCAGGGAGATGAGTGGTGTGGTCTTGGCTTCACAGCAGCAGCTGCAGAAGAAAACCCTTAAGCTGTTGTATGCTGGGATTAAGGATTGTCTTCTTTTTTCCTTTATGTAAGGGACAATTTTCTCATTCTGTTTGGTCTTTTCCCTTCCTTGTTATTTTAATAGTAAATTAAGCAGCAAGATCCCCCTGCTTTAGGGGGGTGTTTGTTTTCTGCAAATATAGGCTGATTTAGCTACTTAATTAATGTCTTAATCATGTCAGTGATTACTCATTGAATGGCTTCACATTATGGCTGTTGTGGTCATGAGAATTTAGGAATACAGCTGTCTCCTTCCACTATTTTAATTACTCTAACTCTTCTATTTACTCTTCCTGAACCTCCTATACTTCCTTGTTTCATCTTGTTTAAACTTGGAACTCTTCCAGGCAGAGACTGCTCTGTCTTATGATATTTAGATATGAGGCTCCAACAAAGTAGTGAATAGCCCTGGTGAAGATGTTTGCCTACATCTCCACTACATGCAAAGTTACCAGACAAGCTTAAAGAAGCTGGTGTGTCTATACAGACGAGCAGCCTGACAAGATGCTTGCCCAATCTGATAACCAGCCTTGGGCAGTATCCAAATTCCCCAGCACTGCCATGGCAGCATGAATACTTCATTTCTGGTTCTAGCTCAACTATCTCTGCACAGCATCTCAGGGAGCATTGAGACTTCACACGGATGCCTTCGCAGGACCGTTATTAACGGTTGCTCAAGGTTGTTTGCCTAACACTGGCTACTTAGAAGGCAGACATCTAGTCTAAGCAAACTCCTGTAGCCAGTGGAGGGTTACTAGCAACATCCAAAAGAAATTCTTCCATTGATTTTATGTCCCTTTCCTGATCTGGGATAAACAGTGCTTTCTCTTCACTGATTAAAGAGGAAACAGATGACTAATTTTCTCCTGATGCTTAACTATTAGGTAGCTAAAATTACACAGGGTGAAGGCACTGTTAGAAGAGCTGAAGGCTGTTGATTGTGTGCAGAAACTACCATGTGTTCAATATCTTTCCACTAAAGGAGCAAGACTTTTTTCTCCTGTAGTACAATCTCATGAGGGGGTGTTAGATAACTGGTCTTGAAAATGTGTTGCATTCCTCATGCTGTAATCTGACAAAAATGACAGCACAGGAGGCAGGAGAGGGGAATGAACAAATGGTGACCAGTTCCTTCCATAGCAAAAGAAAAATCTCTACATGTTTAAATCACCTGTCTAAAAGGGTGATGTTCTTCACTGATGCCAGGCCATACAGCAGCTTTTCTTTTTCTTGTGCTAATGAAGTTTCTTGGTATTTCTGGAACATGTAATTCCACGATGACTCGTTGCCTGAGGTCTGCATCCCATAGCGATATACCAGGAGTCGGAGATTTGCAGGAATACTAAAATAAAGAAACAGTACTAGAATATTTTTCCCCCTTTCCTGTTTGAAATTTGTGACCAAGTCACATGCTGTGATCTTCAGCAGCCACAAAAGCCATGAGCACTCACGTTTCTCCTTGAAGCCATTCTTTGAATAGTTGAGAAGCGTTGTTTAAAGATTCTGTGTCACCCATACTGCAGGCAAAGTCTAGAACAGATGCACGAAGAAGCCTT